TACAACATGGATTGAGTTTCTGAGTAAAGAGTTGTCATTTTTAATAAAGTGGCCTAAACAAGATTATATTAGATCATCAATTCCATCGACATTTCGTCATTTTAAAAAGACAGTTGCAATTATAGATTGCACAGAATTCTTTATCCAGAAACCTTCCATACCATCATCACAAAGGATTACATGGTCTAGTTACAAACACCACAACACCTTGAAGACCCTTGTTTCAATATCGCCAACTGGTTCCATATCTGGTTGTGGTCTGATTCCATATCTGATCGCAAACTTGTGCAGGAAAGTGGGTTCCTTGACAATGTCAACCATGGGGATGATGTCATGGCAGATCGCGGATTTTTAATACGTGATCTTTTGGCGTTGCATGGAGCCACACTAAACATACCGCCATTTGCACATGGTAAACAACTCAGTGCAAGAGCAGTGACCAAGACCAGGAGGATTGCAAGTGCCCGAATATATGTTGAACGAGCAATTGGACGTTTGAAAAATTTCAAAATTCTTCAAGGTATATTTCCACTGAAGTCCAAAAAAATACTGAATCAAACTGTCCAACTCTGTGCTGCATTGTGCAAAATTGACAGTATGTTGGTCAAATAGGCAAGTCTAAGATGACATTATGCCTGTAATTCTGCATTGAAAACTGATTCATGTACAGTGCTTATCAACACATTTATTTATATTTAATCTTATTAATTTACACTGGCCATTAATTTTTTTTTTTTATTTTCATTTCAATGAATTTATTTACATTTCATTGTTGTTTTTCATTTACAAGTTACAGTGTGCATACCTAGACATTCAGTACTTATTCAAATTTACTTTTTTCAAATGTTCTTTTACTTGTTTTCATGAGTATTATTGCCATTGTAAAATACTATTTTTGATGATAGTGTTATCATGTGATGTGTAAACAGGTAGCTTGGCAATAATTTCCACACACTGTGCAGCAATATTTGTTATCAGTGCATTGACATTTAAGACAGAATATTTTTTTTATTATTCTTTATTATGAAATGTGCATTCATTACAGAAAAATAAATATTTTTTTAAAAAAAATATATAAAACAAGTTTAATGGCAGTACTTATTTTTTTCTATCACAGTACAAAGGGTACACAGTGTGAAATGCATAAAAAGTGAAAATATTTTCTAGTTAGCTACAACATACAGGCCTCAAAACTTATAAAGATTTTTGTACCAGTATGTCATAATACAGAGCACAAATCATCTTATAATATGGCATAAAGCCTCGGTAAAACATACTCCCTGTGAAAAAATGACAATTTGTACACAATACGAGTAAAGTACTGTTCATTGAATGGCACAGTAATTATTAACAGTCCTTTTTTTCGTATAAATAACTAGGTCGCATTCCGTCAAACCATAAATACCTAACTGGCCTTGTATTTGGACATAGTAGCCTGCACTTTCAGAAAGATGCCAGTTTCTACCTTCCTCAAGCACCCCATCTCTTTAGCAGCATCCTTTGGTGACTTTAGTCGCAAAGAATAGGGACATTTAATTTATAATAGCAGGCTAAAAATGGCTTCTCAATGTAAACTCTAAGTCCAGGTACTTTGATTTTTAGGCATCTGTGTTTTTTTTCTTTCAACCATAAGATACATTTCCCTGCCCTTACTTTCCTTTCTTCATCCCCACTCTAGAGCAGGCAAATCCCCCGACGGTGGAACAGCACAACAAATGATTAAATCAACTACCTACCTTAGATGGGTCAGCAGATGTTTTTTTGTCAATGTTGTAGCCCTACTTGCAACACGTTTAAATGCAGATGCTGTCAAGATCCCATTCCGCATTGAACGCCAAGTAGGGTTTTCAGACTGCCCAACAGTCTCTGTGCCAATGAAATTTACCTCTTCAGGTGTGTATGTCAGGTTTCTAAGAAACATTTCAATCAGGTCTTGAATAGAAGAAACTAAATTTTCTGGCAAATGAATCTTTAAAAAATTCTGAAACTTCACTGTAAGTGATAAGTTTAGGCAGTCTTGATTTGGGTCTTTTTTAACATCTTTTGGCACATCTATTGAGGGCAGTAGTAAGCTAAGTGCTGCAGCATTTGGTATTATCTGTAAGAGTACAGAAAAAAATGTTTGCAAAAACAAAGATATCACACATTTCTCATTAAATAAAGAGCTCAAAACATTAACCACTGACAAAAATTGGCTTATATGATATATCCCCACCATACTAGGTTCCCTATTCACAATGCTGCAAACATGTTTTTTCATATACTGAGGTTTCTTATGAAATAATAACTCTGTTCTGCCAATAAGGAAATAGTAAATGCTATTTACAATCAGTTATGAAGCCATTAAATCAAAATAATTTTGTGGCCATGATGAATGAAACCTGTGGCTATGACCTCTGAACTTTTGGATTGTGTAAAGAAATGCAAACAACATACGACTAACCTGTGAGAGTCCTTGAGCAAATGATTCTTCCTGCTTCTATGTCAATGGTTTTCTGTCTACTGGGTCTCTTGGATCAAAATCTTCCTGGCCCATGTTATTTTCTTTCTGGACGCCATAGCTGGAAAATAATATTATAAAACAAAATACTACTGTAAAACATGTTGAAAAAGCGACATGCAATTTTAACAAATTGTGGTAAAATGACGTAATAGCGAAATTTTGATTTAGCGAATCTCTCTTGTCATTGTTGTTTGCGGTTTTCACAATACATTTGTACTTGTCTGTCGCATGCCAAATGTGCAGTTAACACCCCCATAAAAAATGTCAAGTGTAATTAGGAAGTGCCCCAGATTTGTATGTTCCGGATTACTGTTTTACAGTATATTGCACAACATCAATGGATGTAAGCCTATTTCCTATTTAGCCTATTCATTTTGAGATAAACATATTATTATGAAATAAACATACCGTGCAAATAGTATCTTAAGACGTTTAACAGAAACAGGTTCATCGTGTTCCATTGGTCTTCTTTTCCACTGGCAGGGACCATCAGTTACTGATGTTTTATTAAATGCCTCACGTTCATAAAGTGTTGCAGCCACATGACGACATGCTCCATCTGCACTGTAAAAATAAAATTATCAAAATTAAAATATTTCAGTTAAGCAACTTGGGAAATTATACCTCATCCATTTACTTAAATTTCCACTTTGCTCATTGTTTCACAGCAGTAAAATACTTATTTATGGAATTCCTTGTACTTTGTGGATATAGATAATACAACTGCACACTGAGACTATTGCATGTATTATATTTTATTTAAAAAATGATTTCTTGTAAATTGAAAATGGTATATGATATCATAGAAAAATAAATAACATTGCACCTTACCCTCCAGGACATTCACAATATGCAGTCATAACTTCAGAGTGTTCTTTTTTCAGTAGAAACCACAAACTGTATGTTGACTTGTTAAGATATGTTTTGTCTTTTTGAGTAGGTTTAACCTGGGCTCGAAATGCACCAACAAAGCTACTCTCAGATATCGCGGTGTATACCATATCCAACACATGACCATCGTAATATAACTTATGGTCTTCATAAGACTTGTATGCCCTGAGTTTTTTCCAGTCATAATCCGATCGGTGACACATTAAGTAGTTAAACACATCACACAGGCCGAAATCGGGAACGCTAGTAAAATCAGAGGAATAATTTGGAAGACTCAGAGGGTCAAAGAAATCACAACCCAGATCAATAAGACGTTGTCTAACGTCATCTTTTGGATCATACCGTGATTAATCTGGGTCTTCGTCAAGGTTCAGGTTTCGGACTGCCTTTGCAAGCGTTACGAGAATATTCTTTCTGTAGTTGGAAGTTGACACGCCGAATTTCCTCAAAAAGTCCTTGAGCTTTGGAACTGTCAATTTATCGATGTTATCCATTGATTTCGTACGCGGCAAACGGTGAAAAGGCAGAATGTTTTCGTCGATTTACACGTTGCGTGAATGGACTCATGGAGCGACGCCATTAAAAGCTTGAATGTTTGACCTTTGTCACGTGCTTAGCAACCTGTTGTTAAGGTGAAATCTCACTCGCGCGAGACCTCGCAGACTTCGGAAAATGCACTATTCATGAGTCCCTTATTTTGAACTGCGTACAACCTAGGACTAATAATTATGGACATTCTTGTATTACCATGCATTGTGATTTCAGACAATTTCTAAAATTGATAATGAAGATCCCACTTTATAACAATCTATAGTTTTTGTGAACAATTTAATATTCACAATTCATCTTTAAAGATTCAATCCTGTACGACTACTAACCAAACGCACAGATAATGTTCATATATTCTGTTGGCTAATTATGTCAAAATATATTAATCACGATGGTTACAGTGAAATCATTGAATTATTGTATTGGTAATAAATGGGGACAAATGGATTATTCATATACAGTGACATGCACCAAATACCCAAGTTATTTTTATACAGTTATATATATATATTTATGTTTCAAATGGTTGATTAAATATGTCAATTTAACCTAAATGTTTCAAGCAGAAAAAGTAATTTACAAAGCTAGTTCTTTCTTGTGATTATGTCCAGCTCGTTATTAGTTCCAGCGACACTTGTTGACGAGTTCAGAGGCGTCGACAGGCATTCTTTCAACATCTTGGATGCGTCACACAAAACTCGACAAGCTTCTGCCATAGCGCGACATTTTGATGACGCAAGGCCCCATAGGACAGTAACAATTATTTAATCACGTATAGTAATTGTGATTTGGACAACATTCACTTTCTCCTACATATAGTAGCTTATCTGATGGGTACAAACTAGACATAGCCTGAGATTAATGTCATAATACAGCCACATATTAATTCACTGCTAATGTTCGGGATATTATATTACCTTCGCTAGGGTGTTTTGTTCTGCATGAATTATGATAATGCGATACAAGACAAAATTAGAATACTGAGCTCAGATCATACCACTAAAGGTAAGCCTTTTGTTTTGTGCATTGGACTGGGACTTTGATTGACGCCGTCAAAATGGCCGCACTTTCTAATACCCGATGGATCGGTGCTATTGTTATAGCGTGTGTGATCTGCCCAGTCTTGTGCAGCAATATCCTAATTCTCCCTGGCGCCCCGTTCGGGAATTTCTACATTACTATATCGAGATTTGGAGAACTGCTGGCCATGAGAGGTCATAACGTTACCGTGTTGATAAATGATCTCTACTACCAAAGATTTGCAGGACTGATCAAAGAACAACGAACATTTATGAATTTTGAAGACTATGAATCCGGCTTCAATGAATTCCCCGATGCATACAACCGAGTCACAAAAAGTGCACATATTGCACTAACAATTTCTGAAATACTTCGCATTTTTTATGTTTTGGCAGATGAGACGGAGGCTTTTATTCAAGACAGTAACAGCATAAAACGCTTGAATGCCGCGAACTTTGATCTAATTCTTGCTAATGCCTTTAACCCAGGCTTCGCTCTAATTGTTGATACATTGCGTGTACCGTTCGTCAGTGTCTCCACCATGAGAGCTTTACCGATGATAGACGATTTACTTCATGGTTTGACTTCAAACCCTGCATATGTACCAGCGGTAAAAACAGGATACTCAGATGAGATGACGTTTTCTCAGAGACTGGGCAATACATTTGCATACCTTGCATCGGCTGCAATGTTTGAGTTTCTTTTGCTAAAACCATTCAAAAGTATACAGCAAAGGCATAACATCCGACCAGAGCTTTCATACAGGAGTTTATGTAGAAATTCGGAGTTAGTACTTTTCTGTTCTGATTTTGCCTTCGATTATCCCCGCCCTATGATGCCGCATGCTATTTATATTGGTTCATTAACAGCAAGAACCCCAGACCCTCTTAGTCAGGTGAGTTTCTTGAAAATGTTTATTGTTATATATATATATATATGAATTTCGATATATTCATGAATGTATTTCTTTTATCGGATATCGGTTAGGTCCACTCGAAAACGGAAACTGCGTAAATTTCGAAGTGCTACGTATGATATGTTCTGTGTTAAGAACGGAAATTCCCAAATTTGCAGTCGTTTTACGCCGAACTTGGAGAACTGATACACTAAGTTGCTCTTTTAATACTTTCAGCTGAGAGTTTGTTGTTGTTTTACTTTCAATTTAGTTAGCGTAAATCACGCACAGTGAACTACATAGGTGTAACGCTACTGGTTTGATATGATAGATTTCATTTACTTTTTCATATAAACCTGCTTCCCAGGCCCGGTTTAATGACTCGGAAACCATATTTCAAAATAACCAGCTTTAACTTACTAGTTTATGGCAATCGTCCAATGCATGCGACAACTTTACATTTGTTGTTGTGTGCATATATTCGTACTGGTGTCGTATATGCTGTATAGAACTAACTTGCATTATTTTACATCTGTCACCGTAACGCCACAAGTTACAGCGTGCCGTAATTTTGCGGTATTTTACGGGGTATTTTCATACTACCATATTTGGAAATGCGAATTCCAAATATGGAATGATTACGCCCGTAAGCGTCCTCTAATAATAAAAACAAACATGGCTGCCACCAGGATTTGACCGGACTCCATGCAAAGAAGTTCGCTGATTCTGTTCTAAACCTTTTGAATTTCGGCATTTCCATGATGTATCCTTGAAGGGAAAAGATGTATAATAATTAGGTTATTACGAAGATACCTCAAAGTATGCACGAAGACAGTACTTCGGCAGTATCGACCGACGCGCAGCGGAGGTCGATGTGACAGCGTATTATTATTATCTTCGTAATAACCTTATATTAATTAGATCGTGGCGGAGTGCTTGTCTACCGATTGTGATTATTCATTACATGAACATTTTAGCAGTAAACTATTATTTATTATACATTTATTCGCAGTATCCGAACACAGTATTATATCTGTTATTGCGCCC